ATACCTTTGAGGCTCCATGGAGTGCTCCAGTGAACTAGATATTGCCCCAGTTTCTAAAAGAAATGCTTCTGTGTAAACCTGAGGCACTACTCTGAGTTCTCAATAAAATACAATCTTTAAAATCTACATAGCTGGGAATTTAGTAATTGTTAATCATATTAAGTATAATAAAACTTTACTCTGGGACATAAAGCAACAGTCTCTTACCTGACTAAACAGAAATTATGTTTTCATCTGCTCTTTTTTCCAGTCTGTTTGTTGTACTGAGGAACAAACCCAGGGTCTTGTACATGTCAGGCAAGTGTTCATCAGTTGAACTTCATCACTAATCTGATCCTCTTTAAGATGTTGTATCATCATTTAAGTAGAGAACTTAAGCCTTAGTAGAAATGAATTGTTTGTTTTCATGATGATTATTATTGAGTACCTTTTTCATGCCTGGACTTTACTAAGTGATCTTACCACACTGTATTTTGTAGCTTCATTAAAAACCTATTGCTTCATTTACCCTTATAACAAATGGAATTTTTAAAAGTTGCTTTACAAATAAGGTAGCTAGGACAGAATTATGATCTCTATACTAACGGTGAGACTAGGATTCAACTCCAGAACCATCTCTTCAAGTTCCATTATTGGAACCAATATTCCACATGGTCTTTACTGAAAATGGCAGTATAAAATACAATTGTATAAAATATTGGCAATTGATGGAGTGATATGGTAGAACCATATAAAATCATGTGTGAAGTGAATGATCAGAATGAATCTGTCATTGCAGTCTTGGCTGTGTACTGTGTTGGGACTATTCTTTGGGCTAGTATCTGGATTTTACACTGATGTGCAAGGCCAGCTGTGGTTCTGATTTATATTAAGTTTAAGCTAGCATCATTTTGGAAAGCAGCAAGAAATACTCTTTTCTAGTCTTGCAGTGTGTTTCTTTTACCAAGTAGCCTCAGAGTACCTAATTAAAACTGTTTGTTGACTCTAGTGTTGAATTTCTATTTTATGTTAATATTGTATTAAACATTAGTTTCAGATAATATTATAAATATTATATAGCCATGAAAATATTATAAAGCCATGAAAAAGAAGGAAATTGTGTCATGAGCAGAAAAATGGATGGAACTGGAGATCATCATATTAAATGAAACAAGTCAGACTCAGAAATACAAATATTGAGCATTTTCTCTCATACGTAGAAGCTAGCAAGAGGCAAAGTGACGGTAAACTGGGAGGTAAAGTTTGCAAAAAAGAAAGTGACTGGGGGTAAGGAAGGTAACAAAGAATATGTCATATGCAATTATCAAGAAATGTAACCAGAAATGCTTCAGTCACCATTTTTCTATGGAAAAATAGTCAAAATTCCTTAAAAAATTTCCTCCAGCAGTTCATCCATAAGACCAAAAAGTGAAAACAGTTTAAATATCCAGTAACATGAGTGGATTAATCAAATGTGACATAGCCATGACAGCAGAATATTATTCAGCAATAAAAAGGAATAAGTCATTGTTACGTGCTGCATAGACCTGAAAATATGCAAGTAGGAAGAAGTTGGTTGCGAGGGGACATCTACTGTACAGCTCTACATATTTGAAATGTCCTGAATAGTCAGATACCTGGAGACAGAAACAGATTAGTGGCTGGCAGGGGCTGAGGAGAAATGGAAAGTGTCTGCAGCTGATGTTTTTGGAAGTTGAAGGAAATGTTCTGGAATTAGTTACGATGGTAACAGGAGCTTACGAATATATTTAAAACACTGAACTGCGCACCTTAAAAGTGTTAACTACCTGTGACCACACATCTGTGATTCCAGCTACTCGGGAGGAGGCAGGGTGATCATAAGTTTGAGGCCAGTCTGGCAACTCACAGAGATCTTGTCTCAAAAAGTGAAAAGGTCTGGCATACAGCCCAGGGGGAGAGTAACCTCAGGCTCAATCCCCAGTATTGGGGGTAAGAGGTGAATTTTTTTTTAATTTTAAAGAGATTAAGACAAAAGAGGATCTAGCAAAGCAGATCAGATCAGAACAATGTAAGCAACACAGTATTTCACCACAATAAAAGGTGAATTTTATATATGTGTTAGATGTCAGTGTAAACAATCTATGGCAGAATTTCTAAAGATTTATTTTAAAAATCAAGTTTGTATAATATGTATATATTAATATTTGAATATTTGAAATGTAAAAAGTTTGGATAGTTAAATACATTATAAAGTATCCTTGTGTTATCAGTCCTTCAACCAAATGATTTGTATAATATGGGAGTACAGGTAGACATCTGGTCTATGAAACACATTTTAGATTTTTAAAAAATCTCTTGAGACTCACACAATACACACAACATACACATAACTACATTGCTTATTCTCCTTTTTAAAAAACTGGTAATCTTAAATCATCCCTATTTTGGAGTGTATTTTCAAAGAGTAGGGGTATTCTTTAACAAAACAGTGCAACTGTCAAATCCAGGACATTTAACATTGATGTGTTGACATCAAAGCTATAATCTAGTTTACCAGTTGTACACTTCATAGTAACTTGTAAGCATTCTCTCATTTTGGCTTGTCTGATACTTTCCTCAGGTTGTCAATTTTGAAGAAATATTATAATAATTTCCAGGGACGACTATAACAAACTACTGAAAACTTGGTGGTTTTCTCACATCACTGGAGGCCATAGGTCATGCTGACAGTCCTCACTCTGTACGGGATCCAGGGGAGAATGATTCCTTGCCATCTTGGTAGCAGGAGAACTCCATTCTCCACCTCCTTCTTCACATGGGCTTTTCTCTCCTGTGTGCTCCTTTTATGAGAGGATTTATTGGATTTGGGGCCCATCTCATGATCCTGTCTCAAGATCTTAATCTTAATTATATCTCCAAAGATCCTGTTTCAAACAAATTCATAGCCACAGTTAGGAGTTTTAGGCCAGGTATGGTGGTACACCTCTGTAATCTCAGTTCTTGGGAGGCTGAGGCAGGAGGATTGTGTTGAGTTCGAGACCAGCCTGGACTACATAGTGAGATCCTGTCTTAAAACAATTAAAAAAAAAAGAAAAGAAAAGAAAAGGTGTTAGGACTAGATAGTAATTTTTAGATCCTGAATTCAACCCAATGCATTATCCAAATGACATTATGTCCTCTTGATAATGTTAGGTCTTCACAGACATGAGAAGAAATACAAAAAATAAATGTGACTTAAATCATAAATTCTTATCAATGTTGTAATTCAAATTGAATATTAGTTTTTCTTGCCTTCCCACATTCACTTCTTCCAGTGAGATTTCCAGCTTCTAACATTACCAAAATTTACTCATTTGATCAGTCCTATAATACATATAAAAGAGTCCCAGAATTGTAAAACCTGTGGTCATTACGAAAAGTAAATTTGCCAGATAAGTTTCAAGATTTGTTAGTAATTTTTTAGTCTTTGTCTTAATTTATATAGCCAAATTCAAAAGTTACTGAGATTTATTCACCCCCACCTGTATACTCCTCTCTGTGTGTAGTTATCAATTTCATATACTGTTTAATTATTTTGTCTCCCTCCCTCTATTCTTGTTGATTTAATTTTATTTTTATTGAGTAATAAAATTTTAACATGATTCTAAAGTAAAAAAAACAAAACAAAACTATATATCAAAGATATTTAGTCATTCTCTCCCCTGTCCATTCTGTCTTCTACTTTATCCTTAGGTAACCAATTTCCCTACTTTCTCATATGCTCTTGTGTGTTTCTTTGGTAGATATAACCTTATATGTGTGTATTTCATTTAGTGATATAACTGGGGTTATTAACTGGGGATGATCTAGTCCCCTAGTGGACATATGACAGTATGTAGACGTTATTTCTAGACCCCACTGGAGGGAGCAATACTGACATCTAGTGGGTAAGGAATAGGTGTACTGCTAAATATCCTACAACACATAGAACAGCCCTTGGCGCTAAAGAATTATCTAGTTCAGTATTAGCACTATTCTTGAGAAACCCTACTATATCTACTCTTGCCTTTTATTTTCAACTGAACAATGCATAATGGATATCCTACTATATCAATTCATAAAGACTTTGCTGGTCTTTTTTTATAGCTACATAGTGGACATCCTGTAATTTACTCAGAAATTTTCATTTGGGCATTTCAGTGTTTTTCACAACTCTGCTATTTCATATGATGCTTTAATAGATAGTTCTATGCATTTTTTTTCATATTTTTAGAAGTATACATTCAAAGTCAATTCCCAGAAGTCAGTCATAGAGCAAATAATATGTCATATTGCCAGATCTCATCCATAGGTTGTATCATTCTGCATTTTCACAATACTACAAAACCTCCTATTTTCCCCATTGGCCAGCTGGTGGAGTGAATTATCAAGCCATTCAATTTTTGCCACTCATAAACCTGGAACTCTCATCATTTTAATTTTCATTTTTCTTACTAAGGATGGTTTTTTTTTCCTTTTGGTCTCCTTATACTGCTGAGACAATCCCCCAAATTTTATCATGTTTAACGTAAAGAAATTTAAGGTACAGAAGCAATAGTTATCAAATGCAGTAAGACAGAATATATATTTCCCTGCTACAAATGATTGTCAAATGATTTCTTGTGGAAGCTTTTCTTGCACTTATGTCTCAATATATTTTTTGCTTATTTGTTTATTTTGTTTTGGTGTGTGTTTGGATATGGTGTTTATGTGTTCATTTTTTGATACAAGGTCTAAATATAGCTCAGACTGATCTTGAACTCAGTAGATAGTTAAAGCTGGTCTTGAATTTATGGAAATCCCCCTGCTTCCGCCTGCCCAGCTAAATAAGTTTTATATATACATAATATATATATTATTTTTCAGCACCTGCCAGAGAAGTACTCATCAACAGGTTGCAAACACAATCCTAGAAATGCAATGTTTAAAGCTTGCTTTATTATTTTCAGATTACCAGAATGTCATTCTGAAGAAGTTCAAGTGACTTAGAACTTGATTCCTATATGCTTGCTGTTTTACAGACCTTATATGTCTCTTGGAAGTCTTCGGGATCAAGTCATTTATCCTGACTCAGTGGATGATATGCATGATAAAGGTTACACAGACCAGGATTTGGAATGTATTCTACACAGTGTCCACCTGTATCACATAGTCCAGAGAGAAGGAGGTAGATCTGTCATTTTTAAATGCATTTGACTTCTTTTTTTAAAAAAATGGATCTATATTTAGTTTATGATTTAATTTGAATATATCCTATCATTGCAACATAATAAGCCCACAGAAATACAGTTGCCATGCTTTTCCATTACTGACAACCTCTTTTAGGCTTATATTTGTCCATTCCTTGGTTGATAGGGATTTGGGTTGTTTCTAAGGTTTGACTATTACAAACTTTTTTTTTTTTCTTTTTCATTTTTATCGGTACCAGGGATCGAACTCACGACTGCCTGCTTGCAAGGCAGGTGCTTATGCCACTGAGCTAAATCCCCAGCCCCCGACTATTACAAACTTTGATGCTATAAACATAGGTGCACATATATCACTGTGATACGTTGCTTTTAATTCTTCTAGGAAGATACCAGGAAGGAGAATAGCTGGGTCAAATGGGACCTATAATCCTAGGTTTTAAAAAAAATTTGGTATTGTTGATTTGGTACTGGGAATCAAATTCAGGACCTTATATGTTGCTAGGCAGGTGCTGTGCCACTGAGCTATATCCCTGGCCCCTAATCTTGGTTTTCTAAAGAATCTCCACCCACAGTGGAAAAGGATTCCTTTTCCCTCACAGCCCAGCCAGAATTTGTTATTTCTTTATGATAGCCATCCTTTCTGGAGTAAGATGGAATCTCATCTTTGTTTTAATTTGAAACTCTCAAATAACCATTGATGTTGGAGGTTTTATCATATATTTATTTGCTGCTTACATTTCTTCATCTGAGAAGTGAGCAGCCATCTCAAATGCCCATGGGATTGGGTCTTTATGTTTCGGGAATCTGAATTTTTTCAATTCTTTATATGTACTATATATAAGTCCTTTGTCTAAGGAACAACTGGCTAAAATTTTTTCCCACTCCATGGGCTGTCTTTTAACTCTGTTGGTGATTTCTTTTGCTGTGTAAAAGCTTTTTAAAAAGATGAAATCCCAGTTGTACTATATCTGATGTAGCATACTAAGTTTATCAAGTCTCCATGTCACCACACTTAACATGCAAAAGGATTTTTTAAAAATGTAAATACACAAGTATTCCTGAAGCCAAAACCATTCTAGGTCTGTGTAAAGTCTTTGAGAGAAATATTCACCTGCCCAATGCTCAGTTCATATTAAATGCAATTATTTCACAAATGGTTGTCACAGAACTTTCTTCTCATTTTCTTTTCTTTTCTTTTTTTTTTTTTTTTTTGTCTTTTTCCTTTTTATCAGTACTGGGGATCGAACTCACGACTGCCTGCTTGCAAGGCAGGTGCTTATGCCACTGAGCTAAATCCCCAGCCCCTTCTTCTCATTTTCAATCCCATATTTTTACCAATTCACTTTCCTCTTTCTCTCAAGTAGTATAAAATAAAATAATGTAGTGAAACGTCTATAATGTGCTTTTCATCAGAGTATGAGATTTTTTAAAGAATAAGAATGTTGTTATGCATGTATGCATGAATGTTGTTATGCATGTATGCTTAAAATCACACTTTGAAATAATTTGATAATTCGTAATTCAATAGCCTAGAAATGTCACTAAAATAACAAGCCAGAATTCCAGATTAAATTTTGCATGGATCTTATGTTCCATTTCACAGTCCATTTCCACTATCAGTGTAGTAAATTGAGAATATGGGCTTTGAACTCAGAGTTCTAGGATCAAATCATAGTTACCACTACCTTCTGTATCTGAAACTGGAAAATGGGGATAAATATATTTTGTAACATTTTTGAGAAGGTTAGATAAGAGTACAGCTAAGGCATTTAGCACATTAGCACGTAAATATACAAAACTTAATAATGAGTGGTATTTCAGAGCTACGGTGTTGATACAGATATTTTCTCTTTGTATGATGATATTTTACATTCAATTTCATATATAGTATTTCATTTGATGCTTGTAATAAGCAAGTGATGCTGACAAGAGAGATATTTTTATACTGATTTTTATTGTTTGAAATTTCTACCATATAAGAAATGTAGGTTATTTTATTGTTTCACATGATCAGTTTCTTCCTGATTACAAAATATAGTGGTAAAGTAAATATTACATCTTTATCTTGGGCAAGTTATTTTGAGTAGTTTTGAAATCCAATAATCCAAATAAAAATTTAAAATAAAGATATGCTGCTCTTTTAAAAATCATGAGAAATTCCTAGAACTAGTTTACAAATACTGCAAATCCCAAGTACCATATTCCCATGCCCTCAGAAGGCCCCCCTCCATTTTAGAAAAAAGTATTCCAATTTAATAACTATAATTGTATGGTTTATTTAGTGTTTATAGTGTAGAATATCAGACAACTTATATATATATATATATATATATATATATATATATATATATATATATAATTTAATATCCTTAATCTAACAATGAGGACTTTACAATCCCCATTTTACAGATAAAATTCAGGTTAGTTAGCAGCACAGGAAATCACAAATTTTAAGTTACTGTTAATTGTGCTGTGCTACCTCCTACCTTTTTAGACATTAATAAGAACTCACATATCCAAAGGAACCTAGTTTTACTTGCTTAATCCTTAAACAGAAAACATTGGCACAAAGCAAGAAAAAACACTCCAATTTGTAAGTACATCACTTATTTTGGAAGAAGCCTGAAATTCTATTTGGATTAGCTCATCCTTTGCTTAGGAAAGGATAGAAATAAGAACTTCATTCCATCCCATCAAACAGGTTACACAATATGAAAGAATTGACAAATATGAACTAAAAAAGTGTGTGCAACTCCAGGAAGCAGGAAAGTAATTTTTTTTCTGAGCTGGCTCAGTCTCAGCATCGAAGATATTACAACTCCAGAGTTCTGATTTATGTGTTTGTGCAGTATCATTCATGAAAGCCTTAGGGTATAGTAGAACAAAGAACTTAGTTTATTAAAGTAGCAAAAATTAACCTTTTTGTTGTCTGAGATACATTTCTTTGCCTTGTGCTTAGTGATCAGGGAAAAATTATTTGAGCTTAGACTATTTCTCCACTTTGTAGCAATTTGAATCTATTTTTTGCATCATCACTTATATTTTGTAAAATTTAGTCATAGTGAAAGCATTATTTCAGTAAATTTCCCCAAACAAGAACTTAAAATCAAATAATATTTTGAGATTTTCTCCCTAATATAAAGTTATAAAGTTATATTTTTAAATAGATTATTTCTGGACATTTACCCAAGAAAATGAACAGTAATGATTTATTTTGAAAGATGGAATTGAGAGTGTCATTAGAAATAATGGAAAGTCTTTCCAAATATTTTTGTATTTGTTATTTTTAATATATTATCATATTAGACGTATTTAATTTTTGGTGTAAAGAACCCTTTCAGATTATGCAAAAATTAAATATACTTTCAAACACATTTTTCCTGTTGCTCCCATTGAATTGCCAGGCAAAATTAATAGAGGAGAAACACTGTTCTTAGTTCTTATTTATAATTTTAGACTTTTAATTCAATGAGCTTTGTAATAATTCTTCAAGGAAAAAAGATATTCAGAAATGTAGATGTGCACTCTGTGTTTAACAAGTAACGTATTTTTCTCTCCAAGATTCTCAACTTGGATACTGAAAAAGAATCCCATATTCTTCTGACCAGTGAATGATAAAATTAATCATTCTGATAATTTAGCTTCTCAGATACCCAATGAACAAAAAAATAAAGACTTCTTTTTCTTCCCTTTTAAACAAGTTATTTATAAATTTTAATGATGACAAAAGTTCAACAGAGAAATATGAAGGCAAAAAGCATGCAGTTTTTCTGAGAAACATCCCAAATACTGAGGATTTGAAAATGTTGTCCTAAGTATTTGTCAAGTTTTGACAGTCATTTTCTTTGAAAATTGGGCACTGTGGGAGTGGGACCGTGGTTTTATTTTTAGTTAAGATAGATTGCTCAGATAAAAGTATAAAAAAAGTTAGGCTGAGATATGAAGCTTTGCACTGATAGCTACAACTGTTAACTTTAGACATGTCTGTTACTCCATGAATTCTGAATCACTCACTTGTATGAGTCATTCTTGTATGGAAATAATAGTATCTGTCTTATAAGGAATATAATATATACTGAGAGAACCCTCCATGAAATGTCAGGCATGCAGGTGCTATTTAAATTAGTTCCTCTCTGAGGCTTTCAGTTTACCAGTACAGATTTGTCAGTCCTTCCAGTTCTTTCTAAAATAAGTAGAAGTCCACCAACATTTCTGGGATACTTAGAATCAAACACAGTTTTTAAGGTTCAGTGTTTAAAATTCTTACAAAATGATTTGTTATTGCTGGCATGGTGACACATGCCTGTAATCCCAGCACTCGGGGCTGAGGCAGCAGGATTGCTGTGAGTTTGAGGCTACCATGAGCTCCGTAGTGAGTTCACGGCCAACCTAAATTACAGAGTGAGGCCTTGTCTCAAAATATGATTTGTTATTATAAGGAGTGGTTACAATTAAAAGATTATCAAATCTAAGACAAAATGCTTGGCCATGAACTCCTGTAGTTTGTCCAAAAATATACTCTGTAAATTACTAGATTCTTCATGTTAACAATTAGAACTTGCCAGAAATCATTCTATTAGAAACAGTAATAATTCAACAAATGATCTACATACTTTTTTTTTTAGGATGGGATGCTGTTATGGACTGGAAAGATGTTCTGTCAGGAGGTGAAAAGCAAAGAATGGGCATGGCTCGTATGTTTTATCATAAGTAAGTATATGATACTCATGTAGCTGCTGTTACGCTATAATAACCAAAACAAGATTCACTATTTTTTTCTTAATTTAAAAATATCTTGGGACCAGAATATACCTCAGCCTGCCTGGCAAGTGCAAGTCCTGAGTTTGATTCCTGGTACCCAAAATAAAAATAAAAACTATATCATAAGTATGGTATTCAAAAATATCATAAGTATGGTATTTTCTACACAATGGAGCACTACTTTGCCATAAAGGAAGATAACTTGAGCCATTTTTCAAAAATGATGCACTTTGAGATCATAATGTTAAGTAAAATAAATCAGTCACATAAACTTAAATAACATATAGTTTCCTTTATTCAAGAAATGCAAATTATAAATAAGGAGCAAATAAAGGATAGCTGATAAGAAATAGGGAGCTAGATCATTCTCAAAGGGGAAGAGAAGCAAGAGATGGAGGGGGAAGAATGGGAGAGGGCAGGGGCAGGATGACAAAAGGAACCGAGATGTGTTCTGTGCACACAACTCCACACAAGGAATGTCAGCACGATAGACTGTACATATCACACACACTAACAAAGTGTCTTATGGAAAAATGAATGCATAAAGCAGACAGTATATAATGTCTTAGATTTTTTTTTTTTTTTGCGGTACTGGGGATTGAACTCACAACCTGGCACTTGCCAGGCAGGTGCTTATGCCACTGAGCTAAATCTCCAACCAGATTATTTTTTCTTTTAACAGAATCTTCAAGTGTTTTGTTTTTATTCCTGTTTCTTCCATGTGGAGTAATCTCCAATGAGATTAATATACTGAGGGCCAAATTAAATTTTTATGTATGATAAGACTTAAAATAGGATTACTACTAACTTCAGGATGTGAAGAATACATAAGCACTTTTATGTTAGTGTAAACTTGGTAGGTAAGCATTCAGGAATACCTATGAATTAGATTAGTAAATTCAAACTAAAACTTTATGATCATTCAGTAATCTCTTAAACTAATATTGCTCACTCCTTGACAAATCAGAGGCATATATCCAGTGGAATAATGAATCAGCCCACATGAGACTTAGTGGATTCAGAAAAATCAAGATTTAGAAGTTATTTCTTTGTTAAAACTTTTCCCGTTATAGCCAGATTTCTAGGCTTTTGAATTTAAGGATCCTAAGCACAACACATGAGAGAGAAGTATGAAAGCCATTCTAATTTCTTCTTCTTAGTTGTCCTACTCTCTGAAGAAGAAATCAATCTCTCTCCTTCCCCCTTCCCTTCCTCCTCCTGGCTCCCCTCTTCCTTCCCTCTCTCCTTCTGCCTTCTTTTCCTTCCCTCTTCGTCTCCCTCTCTTCTCCCTTTCTCTTTGCTTAGGTCTATTGCAATAAGAATCTGAATTGTGCAAGCATAATGTTAGTGAGAATTATCTTACTCATTTTTAGCACTCAAGGAAACAAGAATTGTGCCATAATTTGAAGCAGATTCAGTATTATCGAGTGAGAGCGCAACCGTTTATACTCTCCTAGAGAACTTTTTAAACTAATAAAAATCAAAAAATATATCAACTTCTCCTTACTAAACACTTAGAAACTTGTTGGCCATCCCATAAAAAGATACTTTAGGTATACAAAAATAGTAAAATTTCATCAAAAAAGGGAAATTATAAAATGAACTGCTTATTCCCATTACAGGGATTTAACAAATCCAACACAGTATTTGTCAAGCTTCATTTATCTACTTTTCTTTTTTTTAATTCTGGAGCTATTTTTAAGTAAATCAAAGACATTGTGAAACTTTCCTCCAATTGCTTTAATATAAATATCTGAAATATTAGGATATATTCTAACATGTCACAGGCACACAGAAATTGATAATCTAACACCTGCTTCATATTCAGTTTTCCTGATTGTTAAAAACCTGTATATATTTGGTTTGTTCAAACTAAGAGCTAAGTACATTTCACACTTATATTTTGTTATATCTTGATTCTTTTCTGATTATTTTTTTTATTTTATGAAAAAATGATTCCTTTTTAAAAAGAGTCCCTTTGACCCTTACCCCATCACCTTTCAAAACACTGACTTAAAGAACCCAGGGCATTTGTCACAATGAATGTTGTACATTCTAGATTTACCTGATTGTTCCATGAGATCCATTGAATATCATTCCTCTACTTCCCATTTTTCTTATAAACTAAAAATTAGAGCAAAATCTTCATTAGATTTAGATTCAGTTTTGTCATGACTGTAACATACAATGTCTATCATTAAAAGAATATAAGATCTAAAATTCCATTGAAATACAATTTTATGTTATTTTATAAAAGTAGAAAAGATGGGTAAATATAAAGAGTTAAAAATTTTGATATCTATAAAATGCCATTAAAATTTTGGGCTAAATTTTTAACAGTTTTGATATATAAAAGTGTATTGCAATCTTGGTCATGTTAATACAATTACTTTCATAAAGCATATTATAGTTTATATTCCTTTTATTTCATATCTTAATCCCCACTGATTTTGTGACTGCCTTATGGGCGGTGGCGTCTGTCGAATTATTTTTTTGTATAACAAGGCTCTCCTTGGCATCCAGATGGCAGCCAACAAGTCCAGAATTTGGGGAGCATTTTTAATCTTTTGGCGCCAGAAGTCAATAAGCACCATTTTTGATAAATGGCCCCATGAACATGGGCAGTAACAAACATGGGCATACTTTGACAACTTGAAGCCTCAGTGAGGGCAATGAGTTCAGCCCATTGGGCCGATATTTCTGGCTCTAGGGTTGGTTCCCATAGATTCTGAGAGTCTGTGGTAACAGCAGCTCCCGTGACCCGCTTACCTTGATAGATGTAACTGCTTCCATCGGAGAAATATAAAGGAACTCTGAATAGAGACTCATCTGTCAAGTCTGGTCTCCAATACAGTCGTGGAGAGGCAAGGAGGGGCATCATCAGGCAGCAGAGTAGCAGGGTTTGAAGCCGCTGTTCCCTTGAAACTGATGGTAGTCAGTAAGTAATGCCTGATAATGTATGACTTGGGAGTTGGGCAGCCATCGGTCTGGTGGAATCTTGATGAGAGTCTCTAGTGAATAGGAGGGGACAATTAAGAGTTTCTGCCCAAAAGTCAATTTTTAAGCTTCCTTTACCAGGAGGGCCACCAAGGAAATCACCTACAGACAAGGTGGCCATCCCGCTGCCACATAATCAAGTCTCTTGGAAAGATAGGCAACAGGCCTCTGCCAGGGTCCCAAACTCTGGGTCAGTCCTATGGCTCCTAGAAATTCTCGCATTTGCTTTTTAGTCACAGGGACTGGAATCTGTTGGATGGCTTGTATTTTCTGGAAGGAAAGAGCTTTTTTATGGAGAGTCCAACAACCAGTGTAGTCTTTCTGCCCAGCAGAAACCTCTTAAGCCTGGTCCTTAAGGCCCTCTAGGTTGTCAGATATCTTTTAAGCAACCTCTAATAACTGACTGAGGGGCATTTTCTCAAATCTCTCAAACTTTTGCAATTTTTGCTTAATATCAAGGGCCGACTGGGTTACAAAGGTAATATTAATGGCCCTTGCAATTTTAGGTGCTACCAGTGTATAAAAATGTGAAAGGCCTTTTGCAATCTTTTCAGAAAACTCCGAGGGAGACTTATTAGCCAATTGTCCCACCTCTGCTATCTTGGGCATATTGGTGGGTTTTCTGGGGTGTCCTAATGGCTGCTGAGAACAACTGGCAATACTGGGGAACCTCCTTACCTCTGATTGTCCAATCAGGGTGGGACAAAAGGGAAACATAGTTCTGGCATTCCGGATCAGAGGGCAGGCTTCATCTGGATGGCACACCACTTTTTTTGTCCCAGGGTGCCACATGGCAGGCCATTGTTTTACTGAAATTATATACTTAACAAAAAGGGCTTTTTCATAAGTAACAAAAGTAATTGTGCCGCATAATCTCCCAGATGTCCACAGCACATGCAAGAACTTGTGTTTTATCTCTATAATCACCAATCACATTAGGCACAATAGTTATTTCTTTTAAATTTAGATCGGCTTTTTCCAGTACAAGATGAATTATTCCTTTTTCTCTTTTTTTCCAGCAATCAAAATCTCAACTCTGTCTTTACAATCTATAGCATTCCTGGAAATTCCCCTCCCCCAAACTCACAGTATTGTAGATTATCCTGTTGGGCTCTTTGCTCTTGATAGCCATGCCACAGAAAGAAAGCATTTTCTGTTTTACATTTTTACTTTAAGACAAAACCACTTTTTTTCACTTATTACCAGTCAATTACTTTTTCTCTTGATTTTTAAACAACATTAAAACCTTTAACAAAATCCTTGAAATGACCTTTTTAGTAGTGGGCCCAGATGATTAAAACATATTTAAACATTTTATGTCTTTTTAACCACATTAAAATGCTACATCTTAAAAAACTGGTTTTTTTGTTTTTGTTTTTGTTTTTGTTTTTTTGTTTTTTGTCTTTTTCGTTTTTATCAGTACCAGAGATTGAACTCACGACTGCCTGCTTGCAAGGCAGGTGCTTATGCCGCCGAGCTAAATCCCCAGCCCCTAAAACTGTAACTTTTTTAACTGGCTCAATTATAGTATGATCTGGTTTTACTTGGTAAAGTTAATATGATTTTTCAAAAACCATAAATATACATATATGTGCACATATATTCACATTTTAACCAGAAAGAAAAATACTTTTTAAAAGGCATGCCAAGGTTGCAAGTAATCAACTGAGGACTAAAACATTAAACAAGGTGCCACAAAAGACAAGCCCAACATTAAAGACACAAACGAAGGTTTTTCTGTCCCCAGTTTGGCAAGCTAAAGGAACACAAACGGGCCCTAATGCCCCACACGGGCCTAGGTCCCCTACACCAGCCTCTTTTACACACACTTGCCTAAACCCTATACATAGGCCTAGGCCATATGGGCCTAAGCCCTCACACAGGCCTAGGCCACACACACAGGCCTAAGTTCGACTCATGGGCCTAACCTCTCACATGGGCCTAGGCCACAC